ATCCGCAAATTCGACATCCACCTGGTATCTACCTCTTGCAGCAAACAACCACCTTTTAAACTGTCATTGAGGCCAGTGGACTTGAAAAATGTGACTACTTTTTAGCAGATGATACATTTGTAACTGAAACTTTGAACATTTCACATAACTGAAATTAATGAGAATAATTTGTCAAATGTGTCATTGCTTGTACTCTCATGCAGTGCAGAGAGGCACAAGGCGTGACGTCACCAGAAGAATACAGGGCGGCTTGGTGTTGGCCCCGCCGTCCGCGCGCCACAGCTACGCAGACCCCCTCCCCTTCCCCCTCCCTTCGGCAGACTTGGCTCGGCGGCGGCGCTCGGCTGGAAGCGCAGCTCGGGACGGCTCGGCTCGGCCGAGGTAGGCGCGCGCGGCGCGGTAATTCAAACTCTAACCAAACTATGAAGTGACAGAACTGAATGAGTTCAGGAATATTTCTTGCAAACTATGTCTTTATTTGAGAAGCATCACTCGCAAACAGTCTCTACATCCCTCTTTACACTAACTTTGTCCTAGACCCCTCAAAACATTACAAAGTATACGAGAAACAGAACCTAACCCAAATCTTTTTAAAGTATAAATATTTATTTAAATGTAAATTAAGATTTGTAAATTATCTATATACTTGTACTAGGGCAAGTAATGCGACCCATGAGCTCCCCATTGAAATATTATAGACTTGAATATTTGTTGAATTTGTATCATCTGCTTTCACGATCCGTTCCTGGACGGAACTTTTTTTAATTTGCTGACAAGGCCCAAAACTTTGACGATCGACAACTCCCGTCTTATATGACGTTTCACAGAAGTAACTAGGGGGCTGTCCTTGTCAGTAACTGTTGTCAACTGTGTAATTTGTGCCTCATGAGAACCATTAAAACTGTTCTCACTGTGCTTGTTAGGAAGGCGCTCAATAGAGGACACAACAGTTTTCAGATCAATGACGTCTCGTTTCGATACGCCATTTAAAGCGTCACTCCCAATTATCTGAAGTGCTTTCTGGACCTGTAACAAAAATGAATGTGGTCTATCGGTTATTAGAACAACGCGGAGTGCGGATCGTGGCAGGGCTCG